ATTTTAATGTCAAAAAGTGAAACCATGGCAAAACAATTGATATTGGTACATTATGATGACACAGACAACTTTGTGAATAGTTATTCATTAATTATTTAAAAGAACGTTTACCATTTTGTTTTATTATTTTCTGATGATAAGGAAAATCAGAGACCACCCGAACCCCATATTGATGGATTCAGAAAGAAAAGATCTATCTGAAAAAAAATATAAATATAGGGTGATTCTTTTAAAATTTCATCCGATGACGTCATATCTTGATAAATATGACAGATAATGAAAATCCCCAAGCGTCATTAAATAGTACATAAAATATACAAAAAACTTTATTTGGGTTAATTTTCAATACAATCCATAATTGAGCCACAAATCGGGTGTTCCGCCAATTATGCCCAACCCTGTATATGTCAAAATTCGTGCACTGGACAAAACATAATTTAAAATCTACATTTAAATATATATTATAATTGTAATATTCTATCATAATAACAGTATGATTTTATTTTTGATAACAGTTGACAGTTGTTAGATAGAGAGAGCCTTTGCTTAAAGTTAAATATGTAAGCCACGGACTGCATAAGTCACTGGGTGGTCTGACAAATAGGCAAATCCCAGATGTTACCGGGTAGCTTCAGGCGCCATCGAACCATTGTGTTATTTGTATATTCTTAAGTCAGTAACATATTTAATTTCGAATAGGGCTTTAATTAAGAACTAAAGACAAACTTTTTAAAGAAAGTTACTACTTCAAGGAATTATTATACCTACTCATATATGTGTATTTTGGTTTGCTTAAAAAATCAACATCTGAGGAAGTTGGGATATTTAAGGGTGGTTTAAATTTCAAGTGAATAAGTGAATTATGCAAGATTTCTATATTGGCTTTGTGGTTGTTGAAGTTACAAAATATATCACTAAGATTGTTATTGACATACCTATCAATTACATATTGCTAAGATGATAATACCTAGGTCTTTACATGTTTTAATTTTATAATTGATGCTGAATAAAATTAAGACACATTGTATTAGTAAATATTTTTGGTAGTTGAGGATATAAATGATAGTACTTATAGATTATTTGTAGTTTTTCCAACGTATGTGTTTATAAGAAAGGGTAGTTAAAAAAAATCCATTAAGAATTGAATCTTTAACCAGTTGATACAAGTCAAGTAACTAGTTGCAACAATCATAGTTTCTAAATAATTGAATTTCTTTTTTTTTTTTGTATATAGAATCGTCTTATATAACTGATGGAAACCAATGAGGTTGATATTGGGAAAATATCAGCAACTCAAGGAGCAGCAAACAAAATTGAGTTCATACAGTATGGTTCAAATGAAAGGAATAAATTCATTATAATGGAAGTAGCTGGTTTTTAGAAAAAATGCTCGGACAGGTCAATTTTGTTTACTCAAAGCGCAATTTTTTAAATAGAATTCAATTTTCCCCCACTTCCCATTTTTGGGCAGTGACCTCACAAACAATTTTTTTAAATGGTAACCTCAATTTTTTTTTTTTTTGATTTTGATAGATCTTGCAATTTCCTATACTCGGAAATATAATATTTGAAATATCTTACATAACAATTTTTTTGAATAGAAGACATTTAAAGATCAGACGCATAAATTTTATTTTATTTTGAGAACACAATAAATGAGTAAAAGATAATTATTTGTAATTAAATGCTTAATCTAACAAAATAATAATAAAAATAATAATAATAAAAAGAATTTGTGAAATTGTCATTAAATTCTTTTTATTATTATTATTATTATTTTTTAGATTAAGCACTTAATTACAAATAATTATCTTTTATTAATTTATTATGTTTCAAAATAACATAAAATTTATGTATCTGATCTTTAAATGAATTTTTTTCAAAAAAAATTGTTATGTCAGATATTTCAAATATTATGTTTCCGAGTAGGAAATTGCAAGATCTATCAAATTCAAGAAAAAAAAATTGGAGTTGCTATTTAAAAAAATTGTCAATGGCGTCACTGTCCAAAAATGGGAAGTGGGGGAAAATTGAATTTTATTTAAAAAATTGCGCTTTAAGTAAACAAAATTGACCTGTCCGAGCATTTTTTCGAAAAATTACCTACTTCCATTATAATGAATTTATTCCTTTCATTTGAACCATACTGTATAATATAAAAGTAATAACAATTATTATACTAAATTTAAAAATAGTAATATAAATAAAAATAATTATACCTAAATGTGGATGTTTAAAGAAAGGTTTAGAGCTGTCAAACCGTTTATAATATAAAAAATTTTAAATCAATAAGATTGTGGATACTGTCTCTTATTAAGTTAAAAATAATAATAAAGAGTTATTTAAATATAGAAATACTATTAATCTATTAACCTATTAAGGGGACATGCAATTTTTGTGTGATTGTCATTTACATTTAAGATACCATACTATAAATTTTACTTCGAGTATCTACTCCACAAAATTGGCGGTTTTGTGGTACCCAATATATACCTTATAATAATATAATTGTGTTATACCTATCTAATAGTTTTTTATCTTTAAATAGTTCTTCAGATTAATATCTAGATTTTTACTGTTTATAGTGAGATTTTGCAACCGTTCATCAGCTTGTAACAAGTAGCACATGTTTTAGAAATCTAAGTTTATATAAAATAAATTGTAGTTTTTTTTTTATTGTTTTGGTTTGAGTCAATCGAAAGTCCTAACTATTTTACTGCTTTTGCAGCTTTATTTCCTTGCAAGAAATATCAAGATGGGCAATCACAAGTACTAGAACTTATAACTAAGTAATTAGATTTATCTGGATTAATTGATAAAAGTTTCTAGCTCGGTTTCTAGTCTATTCGATTTTTTGCATTTAAAAAATCAGTTTCTACATTAGTTTTCAGTTCAGTCTTTTGCCTCATAGAAAATAACTGCATCGTTTGAGAAAGAGATGATATGAACTGTAATTAGGTAGTTAAGGAGGGAGAATAAAGAGTTCATATAAATATTGAGAAGCGTGGGCCCTAATACGATACATTGTGGAACTCCGTACTCAATTGAATGAGGATAACTTGATACTTCTTTTATTCTTATAACCTCAGTGGTTTCCAATTATTTAACTAGTCAGCAGAGACTATCTTTCACTGAATTATCTTATACAGGGTGTCCTGGACTGAAAAAAAGAAAACCTTTTTAGACAAAATGTTTTTGCTTTTTTAAAAAAATAATAAACATTCAAACAAAAGTTGAATAATGTCTATCTTTTTTATTATTATTACTATTATTTTATTTTCAACATGATATAATACAAGAAAAAGAAACTTTTTGTTTTATTGTATATTATGAAACATGAAAACCACTCAGTTCAACACATTTTTCAGCTTTGCGCAAAAATTATTTGGCAAACATATTTTGTGGTAGATATATTGAGAAACATAATTAATACTCTACCTTATTTTTTCTTTTAAGATGTCAACATAATTTTCCAAATCATTAATGTAAACAAATTGTTTTAATTAACCCTACAGAAAAAATCAAAAGGATTTAAATCCGGCAAAAGCGCTGGCCGTTACACTAAAAAACCTTTTGAAATTTTTTTTTATTTTTGCAATTATTTCACTAAAGTAAAAATATATTCAACTTATGTTTGGTTTATTATTTTGAAAAAAGCAAAACTTTTGTGAAAATTTTCTTTTGCCGAAAGGTGAAAATAAAGAAGGTTTTACTCTTTTTAAGGGACTATATAAAAGTCTGTATATTTACTGACCGAATTTAAGAACCTACATTTCAAGAATGTTATACCTACTTATGTTTAAATGTTTTAAATTTAATGGTAAAATATTATACATATTTAGTTAGATTGTTGACATATCTAATAAACAGTAGAGGTCCAAGAATAGAACCTTGTGGCATTATTGATAATTTTGAACTTAGAGTATTATTAAAATACATAGCTTGGGATATAGTTTCCAGATAGGATGAAATGAGTGATAGGGATACACTTCTAATTCCATAAAAAAAATTTTTTTTTCAGCAGAATGTCGTGAGAAACTTAGTCGAATGTCTTTGAGAGTAGATCATGGTTGGCAAGTGCAGGTTTTTTGGCACCTAAAAGTTAAAATTCTGCAATTTTGTGTTTATTAGGTTTTTAAGATTAATGTTAAGAATTCACAATTTTATTAATTAACTCTCGGGAGAAAGGGTGCAGAAATGAGTGTATATAAAAACAAATCCAAACACTTCATCAAAGGTTATACCACTTCTTCTTGATACAGACAATTTAACAAAAATTCCTTTCAATTTTTTACTTGTTATTTTTTGTTCTCTTTGAACAATGTGATTTTTTTAATATAATAAAATCTTTGCTTTTATTTTTTGATTATCTTTACTAATAATAAATTTTAACCTCGCTTTTAACATACCTACATGAACTACATGAACTAAAAACCTTTAAAATCCTAAATCACCTAAAAACCTACTTATATATTTCTGTGGCATTTGGGAGAAATATGTTAACTCCAAAAAACGGTTTTTTTTTTTTAATTCCACTAATATAAATATTTTTTATGAAGTTTAATTTGATCTAGCATTGCTAGTAAATATATATTATAGTTTGATAAAAAATCGATGTCCATTAAATTTTTGTTTGGTATAATCTGATTACATATCCTGTGCATAATAATATTAATTTTATCATATGTCTCCCAAAAACCACAGATATTCAAATTTCTAGGTGTTTTCCAATCCTTGAGTAGATTGAGTATGTGATAATTATTAAAATGATCTAGCAAACAAATTTGATAATAATTAAGTATTTCGATGACTGAACGAAGTCAGACCATATCGTAAACAAATATTTTTACGCATTTTCGACGCCACATGTAGCCGAAATATTTGAAAACCTCTACTAAAAGAAAGCTTTCGCCTTACACATGCCGAACACGTGTCCCGTAGTAAAAATAAACTCTCGCACGTGAATCAGGCTGGATGCCCGCTACGTTGCCGCTTCTACATCATAAAAAAAAATGAAAACTCACCCTTTCCTCCTCACGAATCATCTCGGCGATGCCGGGTTTGATTTCCATATCGTCGGCGGCCGAAGACGGCGGTTGCTGCTGAGGCAGCGGCAAAGTCAACTGAAGAGGTTCTGCGGCCGCCGCAGCGTTCTGAGACGTCGGCGGCAGAGGCGTCGCGACGGACGGGGCCGGAGACATCTCCACAGACGGAGGAGGTTCCGGCATATCGGCTCCGCTCGCACTTTCAGCTGGGCTACTCAGGCTGCTTCGTTCTCCAGAAGGTCTGCGTCTCTTCTTCGCCCTCGGATCTCCGTCCATGTCGTGATGCGAACGATTATCCCAATCTGATCTGTTTAAAATTGGAGTGGATGCGGGTTTGATTGACGAAGGACGCGTGGTCAATTCACCAGCTGGTGCCACCACGTCTTGTTCCCCGTTTACGTCGGCTAGGCCGCGGATTTTCAGAGATTCGGCGACTTTTAGAAGAGGACCGATTTGCTCTTGAGACACATTGATCTCACCTTTGTACATAAATTCCACAGCCGCTTTCAATTCCGGCCATTTAATGTCACGCATTATCACTATGGGATGCTGACAGGGGTTTTCGAAGAATAACGATTGGAAATAAGGGCTGCATGCTGATAGAACCATTTTGTGAGCTTTGACGGAATGTCCATCGCAAGCTAGGGTTACATCGACGAAGGATTCGCTTTGGAGCAACTGATCGAAGACGTTGGTCAAATTGGATTGGTAGTTGTTCCAACGCAGGCAAAACTGCTGGGGAGAACCTGTAGCGTGCTGCATTGTCACCTGTAAGTTTCAGAAAAAACACAGTTCACAAAAGATACGCGCACATCGCAGTCCTGAGAGCACACAAACCGGGAGAGCTGAGAAGGCGAGCACGTGCGTTTTGTTGTATACGAGTATTTTTGGATACGAGCCAACGAACGAGTATGTTATCGCGACTACTGTGGCAGCGAAACTGAAACGCGGAGACGAGCGCAGGAGGGTCTGGGCGGCCGCTGTCGCGCACGCCTTACCCCCACTGCGCGCCGCGAGACCGCCCTCACCCCACCCACCACCCACAAGACCTCGTGGCCACCGCGAGGCAATCTCCGTCGCGGCACCCTAATTACGACCCGATACATCGACACCTGAACTCCTTGCCGCAACCTAGGTTTTTGCTTGCTCGCTCTCGCCGGCTAGCCGCCGGCTCGTTACTTTTACTTACTTGTTACGGATTTTAAAATACGGTTGCGGCCATTACTTACGAAATAATTCGCGGATTGGGTCAACCCGTTTATCTATTGCGATTTGCGATAATGAAACTTGTGCTGTTTTGTTGCCGTCTCGTAAAACTATTTCCCGGTGTTACCGCGATAATTATTTATTGTTTTCCGATTGATTTAAACGTTAGTGGTCTGAAAAAGGGGCAAAAAGGTTTCAATTTTTTTTTAAGGTACAACCACATGTGGTCTTTACAAAAAAATAGTATAGGTCCCTGGCCATCTGAAATCGGCAATTACAACATTTTTTAATAGGGACAACATTTTTTATTGCAAAATTTGTCAAAATTCTGTCAAGATTATGTTTTATTACTTTTTCACACATACCTCGATGTATCTCCGGAACTAAAGAAGATATTTTCAACTTTTTTTTTTTTAATCGGCAGAAGAAGCGTAAGCGGAGATTACTGCATTAGTTTCATTAGTATAGAAAACCTAGTTTTTTTTGTAAAACTAGACAAAACTTTAATCTTTTTTCCAGCACTTTTTTCAGTAATCGAGAAACTTTTTTATGTTTCAAAATTTCACTTAACTATCTGCGTACCAAATAAAAGCTATAGCTTCAAGAAAGTTTTTAAAACAAGAATCGCTATTATAAGTGTCATAGTTTTTGAGCAATAAATACGCAAACTTAAAAGTTTCTGCAGCCGCGTTTAATTATTGTACTTTCTAACGAGCAGACATCACTCGGCGTCCCGCATACGCATAATGATTTGGGAGAAGTCTTTGCTGCTAAAATCTTACGAGAGGTAAGAAAACATGGGGCAAAAAGAATTACAGTAGTCTTTGATACCTATTTACCCAATTCGTTAAAAAATGGGAAACGACAAAGACGTGGTGATTCCAGTAGTGAATTTAAAGTGGCTGGTTCAAGAAAAGTACCCAAGTTTCAAGAATTTATCAGGTCTTCGGCGAATAAACGATCATTACTAATATTCATTACAAACTATTTCTTGACAGAAGTACCAAATTTACTAAATAACTGTGAAACAGTACCTAATTGTAGCAGGTGGATTTGAAAATCCTCAACTTTGTTTTGAAGTAAATAAAATTACAGGGCCAAAAGAGGTGGAAAGACTAAATAGCAATCAAGAAGAAGCTGACACAAGACTGATACTACACGTTATAGTAGAGCTAAAAGCAGATAATACAATTCTAGTAAAATCTGTTGATACCGATGTCCTGATCTTGCTCTTACATTTTTACTGTGAAATATCAAATGTCCCAAAGCAATGTATACATACAAATAGGACATGGTAAAAATTCAAATTTTTTATCTATTAACAATATTGTAGCCAATTTAGGGACGCAAATGTGTACAAAACTACTGGCAATAAATTGCCTAACTGGATGCGACACAACAAATGCGATGTATATAGGTAAGAAAACAGCATTTGATGTGTTATACAAAAATATTGATGATTTTAAAGACCTAGAAAATCTTCCCTTTTTGTCACAAGATAAAGCATTGGAAGTATATACTTTATTTGTATAGAAACAAAAACAAAAATATTGCTTCTTTGAATCAATTACGGTGGTACCTGACAACGCACTCAAATCGCATATCTTCTGAGTTGCCTCCTACTGATCATGCTTTTAAACAACATTTAAAAAGGTAATAAATATGCCACTAGAAAATCTGACTCTATACGGATGGACATTAGAAGAAAATATTTGGAAAGCCAATTTTTCTTCTCAAGAACCAGTGCCCGATGATGTAAGAACAATTTGGTCTATACGATGTTCAGACAAAAATTGCAACAATAATAAGTGTACCTGTATTTCACAAGGGTTAACAAGCTACAGTGACTGCAAATATACAAACTGCTGTAAAAGCCTAACCTATGAAATTTTATCAGACTGCGAAGATGAAGACCTTTAAAATATGTTTTTTGTTATTTAGTTTAACTAGTTTTATAATTTTTTGTTTAATGTTTTTGCAATTTTTTTAGAGAATATTGAGTTTTTTTCTTTTTGTTTGATCAGATGTACCTATTAAATAATGTCAATATAAATATCTTTAATTTAAGTTGCTATAAAAAGAGTTTATTCGTGAGATGAAGATAATTTTAATAATAAAATTTTATATTGTTAATCTAAACTAAAGCAATAACTAAACTATAACTTTTTTAAAATGTTTAGGAACTTTTATTAATTTACAGGTCACAGGTATAATTAAGTCGGCGCCCCCACAATAACGCTAACAGTATTTTTAGCTAGCTGCACGGCCGCGGCCGGCGCGTTGGCCCATGGAGGTGCGGAACCTTTTAACTTCAAGCAACTATTGCTTGAAAACTATAATACTTAGAATAGTGATTGTTGTTTTAAAAACTTTCTTGAAGCTTTAGCTTTATTTGGTACTCAGATAGTTTAGTGATATTTTGAAAAATAAAAAAGTTTCTCAATTACTGAAAATAGTGCTGCAAAAAAAAGATTAAAGTTTTGTCTAGTTTTACAAAAAAAATTAGGTTTCCTATACTAATGAAATTAACGCAGTAATCTCCGCTTACGTTTCTTCTGCCGATTAAAAAAAAAAAGTTGAAAATATCTTGTTTAGTTCCGGAGATATCGCGAGGTATGTGTGAAAAGTAATAAAACATAATTTTGACAGATTTTTGACAAATTTCGTAATAAAAAATGTTGTCCCTATTAAAAAATGTTGTAAATGCCGATTTCAGATGGCCAGGAACCTAGAGTATTATTTTGTAAAGACCACATGTGGTTGTACCTTAAAGAAAAAATTGAAACCTTTTTGCCCGTTTTTCAGTCCACTACGTCTATATAAATAAAAATAATCCGATTAAAGTATATCTAGATAGTTAATTCTTTCAAAAAAGTGCATGTAGAATAGAAAAAATATATTTATACCTACACCCAATGGGTTAAATCTAGTGATTATATTTTTGGCGCCCAACGAGGATAATGCAAATTTGGACTATTATAAAAAATTGACTGGTGTACTCTAAACGATTTTTGTTTGGGAAATATTTAATATACAGGAAATAAATATTTTGAAAATGAAAAGAGATCTGAAAAGTTTTATATTGAAAATGTTTTCTGTTTTATTGCCACAACAATGAATAATAGAAGAAGTCAAGAATAAATTCTAGAATCCGAGGGTAATAAACTAATAAGAAACTAAAGAAAATTTAAAAAAGTTTTTTAAAAAGTGAAGACCTTAAAGGACAAGGATATCTCAAAAAGTAATTTTTTTCAAAAATTTAAATTTTGACAAAATAAATTGGGCAATAATATCTAGAATATGCATATAAGTATATTAAAGTTTTAGTTCCTTCCAGTTTTCGAGAAAAAAATCGGAGGGCTTTAAATTTTTAAATATCATGACGAAAATAAATGCATTCCTCAACAGAACTATTCTTAATATATCTAATCGGTCATCCCACGATCTGTTTTGGGGGTATTTCTTCTATATGAGTTATTCCAATGCCGTCGGTGTTTACTATTGTATGGTTTTGCTAACATTTCAAGCAGTTTTCTTCCTCGACTAGACATATTTTATTTTTTATGTGCACTACTAACTACAATTATAGACAAATATTGAATACTGCATGATTTGTCCTAACTTGCATAAAGCGGTTTATTACCCCACCCTATTTTTTGGTAATATTTTAAAAGAAGTCTAGTTAGAAATATCTCCACTATCGTTTTAATGAGGGTAAGTAAAGTTGATTGATTCTTTGTTTGTATTTTATAGTAGGTACCATAAAGTAAAGCGACTCACTTGTTTCTTAAATTTCACTAGTGTCAAATCTCAAGTAAATCTCGAGTAAATTTATTTATACTAAGGTAAATTATAAATAAGAATAGCATAATACAAAACTTTGCAAGTAAGAAGATTTACTAAAATATTTTTTGACGAGAATTAGAGATGCTAAAATGTAGTTGTAAATAACTTGGTAATGTAACACCATTTAATTATCAGGATTGGTAGAGACATAAAGTCAGAGTCGGACTCTAAATTTGGCCCCATCGGCACCACGAATAATTGGCCCCCCACACGGAAAAAAATGTGACTAGAAAATTTTACTACAATGTTGTAGTAGTAGACTTGTAGAAAAATACTTAACAATTTGTAGAAAATTTTACTACAATTTATAGGTAAAAACTATTCATTATTGTAGCAATTGAATTGTCGAATAAAATGCTACAACAATAGGAAAGAATTCCACAATATTTAGTATATTTTACTATTGTTTGTAGATGTAGAAATTTATTACAATTATCGTAATTATTACTACTAACTTCTGAAAAAATTTGTACAAATATTAATAATTATCTCTACAAAAAATAGTAATTTTCTCTACAAAAAATAGTAATAATTTACATCTCTTCTTATGAAAAATATTCAATTTTGTTCAAAAATATTCTATAATATTGTAGAAATTCTAAGTCATGTGAACAAAACAGAATTCTGCTATTGGCCAACGTTTTCTGACGTCGATCATAAATGGCCAGACAGCAGTAGCCGTTCGCCATGTTCACATAACAAAGCATGGTACATATACGAGTACCTATAACACATTATTATATTATAAGCACCGATGCGTTTGAGAAAATTTTAATAATACATTCTATTGATGGTAAGTACATTTATTACTGTTTCTGAATAATTTACTTTTAGATAACTAATTTAAATAACCTTAGTAGATTATTTAAAA